TCACCCAGCAGGTTTCATGTGGAGGTGTGGGGAATCAAACCTGCTTCTCCAGGTTAAAGTCTGCTGCTCTTAATCACTACACCACTCTGGTTCACCATGCTGATAAGCCATTCCAAAGGCTGGGTATATGACAACCCCTCCCCCCAAAAAAACACCCTATAACTTGACTGTTACCACATGGGCATTCCTAACAGAGGTTAAGGAGAAAGCTGACTGAAGAACACAGCTAGCCTAGCACAGTGGAATATACTGGGAGATGGGAGTATGCTGGGAGATAAGTATGAAGGGCTTTAAAGGTAATAACCAGCACGCTGAATGAGGCCAAGAAGCAAACAGGTATCCCTTGCAGTTGACACAGTATTGGAATGATATGCTCTGAGTGAATGACCCTAAACAGGAGTCTTCTTACTGCATTATGTACCAGCTGAGTCTTCTGAGAAATCTTCAAATGCAGCACCATACACAACATGTTACAGTAGTTCAATCTGGGCACCACAGTAGCATGGATAAAGAAAACATAATCCCATCTAAGGTAAGTAAATCAACACCAAATTCATTGCCATCCCAAAGGCAACTGTGGCAAAAAAAAAATATGTTGGTCTTCAGCCAAGGAACCCACTAGCTAAGCCCCTCTGTTCGGCGTGAGCACAGACAGGGTAGGTCAGAGGCCTGAGTCCATCTAACACCAAAACCCCATCAGGGGAGAGGAGTTCCCAATCATGAGGGAATGTGCTCTGCTAGTTTATTTTAAAGAAGTTCTCTGCTGAGTTGAGCTGAGTGTATATATATAGCATTCTAATCCCAAAGAGCAGATTGGGAACTCTGTTGCTGGCAGCCAGCAGTGCCTGTTAAGGTTTGGAGGGCTCCTACTAGTGTTTCCATGGCTGGAGAACTCCGTCTCCCTCACAGTTGCCTTGGGGTTTTGTAAACAGTTTAATTGAGGAGAGATGGTCTGTCTGGAAAATGCAATCATACACGAAATGACACAAACAGCACAGAAGTTTGTGAAATGTTTGTGCCCGGCACCCTTCCATGAACATTGCTTCACAAACCAGCCAAAATTCACAATGGAAGTTCAGTTCATGAGCTAGATCATGCCCATCCCTACTTAAGACACCAGGCCAAGACCTTCTCAGCTGCTTCTGAAGGCCTAGATACTGAGATATAAAGCTAGGTATCACCCATGTACTGGTGACCAGTGTTCCCTCTAAGCTGAGTTAATGTGAGCCAGCTCACAGTTTTTTTAGCCTCTGGCTCACACATTTTTGTCTCAGCTCAGGAAGGAGGGCTCCAGAGCAAACTAATTTATGCAGTAGGCAAATTGCTCGCTCACGACTTTAATGCCAGTAGCTCACAAAGTTGGATTTTTGCTCACAAGACTCCACAGCTTAGAGGGAACATTGCTGGTGACAATCTACTGTGAAGTTCAAGTTCATCTCCATCAATCATTTAACAAAATATTGAAAACCATTAGGAATAAAATGGACCTTTGAAACTAGGGATGAGCACAGATTGGACCACGGGCCTAATTTTTCCACGGACAAGGGCCCAATTTGTGATCCGTGAGCTCAGTCTATGCCAGTGATGGCGAGCCTTTTAGAGACCGAGTGCCCAAACTGCGACCCAAAACCCACTTATTTATCGCAAAGTGCCAACACGGCAATTTAACCTGAATACTGAGGTTTTACTTTAGAAAAAACAACTCATACATTAACTTAAGATGATACAAACAAAGTAAGAAAAGCAATCCCAAATGCTTTCATTTACTTAAAATTATTTGGCAGAGAATTCGACGCTTTAATGACGGTCTGGGCCTGGCTGGGTCGATGGCACGTGTGCCCACAGAGAGGGCTCTGAGTGCCACCTCTGGCACCCGTGCCATAGGTTCGCCACCACTGGTCTATGCCATCCCACTGACATGGACCTCCCACAAGTCCACAACCCTCCCAGGAGATTCGTAAGGCCCATGTTTGCTAAGCCATGCAGCGCGAGAGTAAACACCAAGTGGCGACTTCACCCACTTCCGGTGGAGGGGCCTTTGGGAGGCTGCAGCCTAGCCGCATCTGCCAGGGATCTCCCAGCATCACTGGCTCCACTGCATCTGCTGCCTTCTGCGGCCTGGTGAGCTTTGGCGCTGGTCTGCAGCCTCGCTGCCCTGGCCCTAGCACCTTGTCACCGTCAACTGCAGTCTCTTCTCTCTCTTTTTTTAACCCGCCGAAGGGATATTTTTATTTTACATTAAACTACAAACTACAAAGAAAATTAGGTGGGGAAACTACAACTAGGGATAAAGGAAAGATAACCACACTAAACTAAAAACCCAAGAGAAGGAGATCTTATTTCTGTTAGTGTAAATGTTAGTACCACAAGTGTTAATATCACAATATACTTGTAGAGTTCCTGCGCATCTTCCATGTTTATATGTTACTTAGTTGTTATGAGAGAATTTTCTGATAATCTTCGTGTTTTTCGCTTCAAAAGGCCAATTTCCGAGTCCTTCTGCCTTTACTTCGGCTTTCTGTTTCTAAAATCGTAGACAACTTTGGCAGGTCCTGTACCTGTTTCTGTAGCAGAGTCTTCTTCCATTCCAGAGGTAGCAGAGTCACTGGATTTCGTTTCTTCCTCCTTAGACTCTTCCTCTGTTCCAAGCTGATGCCGCGAAAACGCTTTAGCCTTGAAAATAGAGTCTATCTTCTCTCTTTTGTCGTTAATCTTAAAGATGACACCTTCCGGGATCGCTCACCTGTACGTTATTCCATTAGTTTGAAGAAAAGCAATCAAATCTTTGTAATTTTTCCTCTTTTGTCAGATTTCAAATGGAATGTCTTTTAGTGTCTTGATAATTACATTTCCCATTTTCAGTGGAGTTGCTGATGTTGCTTTTAAAATAGCATCTCTAGTCTTCTTGAGAATCTGACCACAATTTCTCCAGGTAGGCTATTTTTTTATATATAGTTGGAGTATGCACTATAGGCCACCTCCATATCTTTTATCAGTTCATCTGCTGTAAAGCCTATCACTGGAGCGATGATCTCGCTAAGCAGCCTCCTCAGGTCCTCTTTCACTGCTTCAGGAACTCCCTGGAACCATATTGGCTTTTTCCATCTGTAATTGCAGTACACGGTTTTCTTAAAGATTCTGCTTTATTTCCACTTCTCCCAGTCTTTTCTTCAACTTCTTATTTGTGGTGTCCATCTCTTGGATTTTCTCATTAGCCTGCTCCACTTTCTTTTCCATTTCATTCAGCTGTTGAGATGCAAAGTTCTTGTTCATCACAGTCAGTTGCTGGTTAATACCATCGAGTTGCTCCATCACCGGCTTGAGCATATCCGCTAGTAATTTAATGACGTCTGCCCCCTCTTCCGGTTTGGGACTCTGACTGCCTGGTGGTTTTGTTTTTAACTTTGCATGCTGGGCTGCCATTTTTCCGATTTGTTTACATTTCCCACCGCTTCCTCCCGACTCGAGAAACTTGCCCCACGATGTCAAAAATCAAGTCTCTCACAGCACACACGCTGCTTTCCTCCCCTCTCCCCCTTCGCATCGTTTATCGGTTACCTCGCATAAGAGCCGTCCCTCTTTGCGTCCGTTTCTTCCCACATGGAGGGGGATCCGCTTTTTTAATAGTCCATTTTATTCAGAACTCACGTTCACTGTCGGTCAGATTCTCTGACCATGCTGCATTTTAACAATATTCCGCTCAATCTCCGGCACTTGTCCCAGTCAAACCAGCTTGTGCCCGGCCACACAGCGACTGGACCGTAAGGGCAGAGGGGAGTCTCGATTCTTCGCCATTACACCATCGAAGAGGCTACCCCTTAGAAGCCCTCTGGCCTGGAGCTTATCGCAAAGGCTCCGTGGGGGTGTCACTTGAGGTGGCACCCCTCCAGGCCACTGGTGTGTGATTCACCCTCCCATGGTTCGGAGAGAGCGTCCGCCATCGCTGCTTTGTAAACCGGAAGTCAATTGCGGCCTCTTCTCCAGGGTTAGGTGGGCCTTGCTGTTATCACAGCTGCTGAGGACCTTCCAGCACAGCCAGTCCTCCTCACCTTATTGCTGCTGTCCACCACCGCCCGTGAGGAAATCCTGACGGGAACTTTCTTCAACAGCGTCTGGGATGCAAGGGAGGCAATGATCTCCTTCAGTCCCCAAAATCCTCTGCCACTTACCACAGCTTGAAAGCTGGGGAGGAAGGTATGGTGGGAGCCCTGCAGGCATGACCCTTCACTCCTGTTCTCCCCCCCTTCCTTTGTTCTGGATCTCTGTGCTCCCCAGAGCACCAACGAGACTTTCCTACTTCTCCAGCAGGGCCAGTAAGACTGGGGAGCTCCCAGGGGACAGGCCCCTCCCTGGCTGGATTGATTTCAAAGAGACTGATCCTGCTCAAGAGGAGGAGCCATATTCAACAAGTGAGGACTGCCCCACTCCTGGACCACCAGAGAACATGTTGCTGATACCATTTTGAAACAGACTGAAACAAAGAACTCTCAGCATGTCAGGCATTCTAAAAGGAGTAGAAAATTGTGACAAATGGATTGCATCATCTTGCATCCCACCTGTAATCTGATACAAAACAAATTCAAAGCAAGTTTGCTAATGAAACGCAAATCCCATGAATTGTCTATAGAACAGACAATTCACATTAGTGGAAGGGGAAACTCAGTGCATATATCCAAATGTGTCCCATTCACTGGTGTGAGGATGGTAGCCCACAGTCCCAGAAGCTCTGCTTTTCAAAGGGGCATGCATGAGACTCTAGGTCTATGTAAACATAATTATGTCTCTTTCTTTAAAAAAAAAAATAACCCACAGAAGAAATATTTACATTTTCTTTTTAAAAAAGTTCATGCTGTTTTCCTATTTTTTCATCATGCTCATCTTTTAAAGGTCCCTCTTTTATTTGTCAAAGAGCTATCTTACAACAAGTGCATTCAATCCGGTTAAGATGTTCAAAGCAGTAACAGCAAAAACCTTTTTAGCACCTTGAATAAATCACTTACCTGTGCCTTTGCCAATTTCTTTTCTAGCAAATCTCTCTCCCGTTCTGTTTGCTGCAGGCGTTTATTAAGTTCAACAACATCTCCTTTCAGTGATGCCAGAGCTGCTAAGTGGAGCTGTAACACACAAGCAGAAGGAACTAAATGAAATACAGTCCACATCATGTACCACTTGCTTAGATTTACTTGAATAGTACAGGCCATGGAAATGACTGAAGACTAGAGTGACATTTCACATTTCATAATTTTTAAATCAAGAAACAGGAAAAACTATCACCATCTCAAATACTTCCACTTGGCACTTCAGAAATCCCTGCACATTATTTTAATACTACTTTAGATTATCCTGGCTCAGAGTTTTATGATACTGAAGGCATACCAAATATGCTGGCTCACTTTTATTTATATTGGACAATGCCATCATCACTGGCTATAGGAAGGCATGACCAAACATGACTGTCACTACTAATAAAATAGTATATGTTTACATGGTGAAGCGTAATTACATGGTCAACAAAAATTATTTCTTTACAGGCAGTGGTATCTGGTTACATACATGGGCTATATGAAAACAGTAATACTATTTTAGAGAATATTAGTGAAGGCATGGGGCTTTATATGCCAGTGTGTAAAATGAGTCAAAATTTCCCCAATTTAATTACCCACAATGTTCAGGTTGCGTGTTCCAGTTTAAGATTACCGAAAATTATTTATTAATTAAATTAGATTTATAGCCCGCCCTTCGTACACAATAGGGCTCAGGGCAGGTCACACCATTTAAAATCAACAGAACAATTAAATATAATTTAGATTAAAATCAGCAATTACAACAGTCACAACAGTCACAGTGTTCATTCCTCACTAGATGGCACGGTAGAGGGCAGTTCAGGAGATGGTCCCAGGTGGGAAGGCAACACTCATCCTTCACTAGGTGCCTGGTGGAACAACTCCATCTTACAGGCCCTGCAGAATTGTTTCAAGTCTCACAGGGCCCGGGTGTCACTGGTCAGAGTGTTCTACCAGGTTGGCACGTAAGGTGCTCTCAGGCATTCCTTCACAGAATCATAGCTGAAGCCTTTGTTGATGTCCAGGTAGTGGCCCTGCTGAGGATCATATGGTACCCAGCCTATAGGCACAGCAGATTCTCCTTTGTTTGGGCCACCTGTTGTGGCAAAGTGAACTAAAGGGCAGCAAACGCTACCTAGAGGGCTCCCAACAGCCATACCCAGGATAGTCAGAGGCTTTAAATAAATTCTTCTAATAGTTTATTTCTCTTTCCAAGGAACATTAACTCGTGATCCAAATTATCACTACAGCAATACCTTGTCATGACTTTTCTTTGTCTTAATTCTAATTATGATAATATTTACACTGCTTGTATCACTTCTAGGCAGGCTTCTTTGCTCTTATTTACATTTGTGTCTGTGAGTGTATTAAGTGCCTAAAGTCACTCCCGACTTACAGCAAAACACTGAAATAAAGACCTCTGGAATATTCTATCATTAATAGCCTTGCTCAGGTGCTATCAACACTTAGCCTTCAATAACTAAATGGGCCACTGGTCTGATCCAACACTGGCTTCTCTTATGTTCTTAACTGATTTCATGCCATTCCCGAATTTCTTGAATTTGACAATTCAAGAGTTATGTGAATGGCTCAAGCTTGATTCAAGATTTAAACTTCACCAAGGGATCAAGGAGAAACATAACACAAGACAGGTAATGCAAGATCTGTAAATGTGAGACAATAAAGACCATCTACATTACAAAATACACATGGTTCAGATTTGTAATCAAACCAAGACAAAGTTACATTATCTGGTTTCATTTTTATAAGGATGATAAAGGTTAACCCCAAAGAGTCCCTCCCTGTCTAATGATTTTCTTTGTTTTCAGGAAGAAACTTAAAATCATTTCAGTTGAGAAAACAAAGATGATTGTTCACACTGAATGCACAAGCACTGTTCAGCTGCCATTTCACTTCTCAGATAAACAAGCAATGAACCCACAAACACTTATGGGGCTATCTCATTTTTCCCTGCCCCATAATTTCTTCTTTTTTCTTCCCTGAAAGGCCCCACAGCCTCTCCTTTTTTCCTCCTTCCTTCTCTCTTTCCCACCCACTAGCCAACTAAACTCTATCTGTTCCATCTTCAGCTTTTCCTCCTTTCCCACCCCAGCAGCCTCTACCCAGGAAAAGCATGGTCCAGTTGCACAGTGCTAGCAGTTGGGCTGGGCCCAGTTACACATTGGGGAACCTGCAAGAACTTGCAGAGGACATCTCATTTCCTCCCTATATCCCCTTCCTCACACTATTTCCTCTTTCTGCCTCCTTGAGGCAATCCCCATATATTCACCTTTCTCTGTTTTCCCCCCTGCCTTCCACCCACCCACCAACCTACCATTTATCTGCTCCCCATCTTCAGCTAATTTATTTCATTTATACCCCACCTTTCTTCACAGTGAGGACCCAAAGCAACTTACATCATTCTCCTCTCCTCTATTTTATCCTCACAGAAACCCTGTGAGGTAAGGCTGATAATTTTGTAACTGGCCCAAGATCTTCCTGTGAGCTTCTATGGCAGAGTGATGATTTGAACCTAGGTCTCCCAGATCCCAGACCCCTGCATCACAACAGCCAGTCCTGGGTGAGTCATGGAAATCACATGACATCAAGTTGTCCATTGGCTGTTGCCAGGCCTAGCCCTGATGAATTCTCCCTCAAAGGCCAAAACAGCCCTGGAAAGGGTCCTGCCCCTCCCCCTGCCTTTTACTGACAGAAACCAAGGCTTCAGCTGAAAATACTGTGGTGGTTGCCTAGTATCTTCTGAGGGCATTCATTTCTTAAAGCTACAGGTGCTGCTTTTATCATTTTTCTGGGTTTCAAACCCCATACCCACTCATGTTGTTTTACTGCATGTGTTATTAAAATCAGATTGAATTATTCTACAGTATCTGAAGTAAGGGAAAGTTTGGTAACAAAATGTTTGGCAAACATTTATTTATCTTTTGTGGGTGTAGGATAAAGGTCAGTTTTGATTTCAAGACAAAGCATTAAGTCAAAAACAATTTAAATTTCTATAATAGTATGGTCAGTTTGTGAACAGCCATTCAGTATTTTGTTGAATTTCTTGGATTTCATGCATAGCCATTTGGGCTGTGGCCTATAGTATCACTGTAGTATCTGTATAATGATAGTATCAATCCCTTCTCAGCAGCTGACTTTTAGTGAAAGGAAATTTTCCAGCAACATAAATATCTGGTAGGTGGTTAATTTTATAATAAGTAAGCATGTCTGCATTAAAAATATATGAGCAAAAATATGGCACAATCCAGAAAAGGTTAGATATAGTAATATCTATTTGAATGAATGGTGTGCCGTAGCCTGAAGCACCTGGGACTTTAACAGGAGTTAATCACATCTCATCTTTGGCTGGATTGCACCTACAATCTACTAACACAGTTTTAAAAATACACTTAGCAAATATAGGTCGTGTTCAGACTGGCAGTTTGCAGTGCTAGGGAGTCGCGTCAAAGAAGACCCAGAGCAGACCCGGAACGGCTTGGTCGCGGTATTCCTGTTCACACTGCAGCAAACGAAACAGGAGGATACCATGGAGGAAGCGCAAGGGAGTGTTTGCACTGTTGGCCCGCCCTTGGTGGGCTATTAGTGGCTGTTTCTGCACTCTGCTCCATGCGCCCATGGAAACAGCCAGCGCCTATTATCAACGACTGTGGGTTGTTCCCGCCTTACAGCACTTGCGTTCACACGTCAGGGAACCGGAATCAACCCGCTCTCCACACAGTTTGCTACCACTTCCACCAGGTACTTTTAAAACTCAGGAGGGAAGCGGTAGAAGATGGCTTGAGTACGGCTGGGGGACGCCAGACAACTGTGCCTGTGTGAACCCGCCCCTTTAATCCGCTAGTGAAACACTCCTGAAATGTTTGGCTGTTGGGCCAAACTGCCAGTCTGAACGTGGCCATAGGCTGCTAACTTATCAATGTGAAGAACAGAGATTCCAGGGCTACATGAATATAACATACAGCCGATACCTATAGTTTTATCTTTACCTAGTGCACCTGCCACAGGAGACACCTTGAGCACGAAGGAGGTAAAACTACTGTCTTCATAAATACTGTAGAAATTTTACCATTCATGCAATGTATTCTATTCAGGCCATTCATGCAATATATATTTTATAATCATTTCAATTATAGCAAAATAGTATTTTCAATGTTATTATTATCATGTGAATCTATTCATTTTATTAGTGGCTTGGAACCTATGGAGTATGCTGACATAGTTCCTTACTTCCATACCTTTACCCCCCAAGACCAAGAAAATGCTGATGCCAGACACTGTGGGATTCACAAGGACAAAAAGCCATATGGGGTAGGCAGGGCTATCAAAAACCTCCATTGATGTTGTTCAGCTGCACAGTCAAGTCCGACTCTTCGCGACCCCATGGACCACATCACGCCAGGCCCTCCTGTCTTCCGTCGTCCTCCGGAGTTTGCTTAATTTCATGTTCATTGCATCTATGACACTGTCTAACCATCTCATCCTTTGCCGTCCCCGTCTTCTTTGGCCTTCAATCTTTCCCAGCATCAGGGTCTTCTCCAGTGAGTGCTCCCTCCTCATTTGGTGGCCAAAGTATTTGGAGCTTCAGCTTCAGTATCTGGCCTTCCAGGAAACAGTCAGGGTTGATTTCTTTTAGGATTGACTGATTTGATCTCCTAACAGTCCAAGGGACTCTCCAGAGTCTTCTCCAGCACCATAGTTCGAAAGAATCTATTCTTCGGCACTTAGCCTTCCTTATGATCCAACTCTCCCCCCCCCAACCGTTGATTTTAAAAGTTGTGACCTTATCTTTCATTTGTTAATACAGGTACAAGTACCGAATGCAAGGCTCCTTCAGTTCTTACAGCTGGTGCCTAAAGCTACTTTTATACCAGACATAAGCTCTCTCTCTCTCATTAAATCTAAAATAAAATGAAACTGAAGATTTTGATTGCTCTTGTCCTGAATTACTATTCCTTGTTACACAGGGATATTGAATCTCATTATATCATGTAGTGAGACACACAAGATCTGCTAGACAAACAGAGAACACA